TCGTGAACTGCTGAGAAGTGATCTTACATAGGACACTTGCCTAATTTATTCTGATGCTCATAATCCATGAGAATACCAAATTGTGATAAAGACATTTTAAACTGTTAACACAGTCATCTCAGCCTTCTCACCCTGTGGCCCAGTTCTAGAATAATTTCAGTGAATTGTTGCATTCAGAGGCATTTCTACCAATGAATAAACAGTGCCAGATTAAGAAAGTATAAACTTTTAAAAAAACTCTGGGAGGGTTCTGTTGTTGCTTTTGCTTTTAGAGTTTACTTGATGCTATTAAAAAATGTTTGAAAGCAAGACTGTCTTCAAGGTACAAGACTGGGAAGCAACACACATAAAAAATATTATTATGTAGCTTCAGGACAACAAGTCAAATCTGGTAAGACTACAATTATGAAAATGTACTTTAATTACCAGTACTTAGGGTATAATTTTAAGTAATTTGAGTCCCAATGCTTTAACATACATCTCCCACCTTAACGCCAATTCTGTGGCACATTTGACTGAAAACGTTACTCTGCCAATCTCTGGAGATGCAGACCACACCAGAGCATTCACTCAACATTTCCCATGGATTCTCGTCACAGCCCCTGTCCTGAAAAATGGAATTAGATTCCTTCGGACCACAGTAAGAAAAAACAATTACAACAATCCCATATTAATCCAGCAAGCTTTTCAGAAGTTACGTGTTCGAGAACTAAAAGTCCTAAAACTCCTGACCAAAAGACAGAGTCAAGGAGCAGTTGGGCAACCTTGAAGTTAAGGGTGACGTTGTTTTACCCTCTCCCACCTTAGCCAGGCCAAGCAATCAAATAAATCATGCTACTGCCCCTTCAGAATAGGGAAATATACACACACACCACATACTCCAAACAAACAATGTAAAAACTTCAGGGAAGTACTTTCTTTTCCTTCTTCCCAAAAAACCCAAACCTATTGCCATCGATTCATAGCAACCCTACAACACAAAGTAAAACTGTCCCACAGGGTTTCCAAAGCTGTAATCTTTACGGAAGCTGACTGTCACATCTTTCTCCTGCAGAGCAGCTACTGGGTTCAAACCGCCAACCTTTCGCTTAGAAGCTGCAATGTGATGGATCACTTTTGTGTGGCCTTTCTCACCATGGCCTTATAACTCCTACTCAAGTGACTAGGTGGGTGATTGGAGCCCTGGTGGTGCAGCAGTTAAGAGGTCGGCAGTTCGAATCCACCAGCCACTCCTTGGAAACCCTATGGGGCAGTTCTACTCTGTCCTATATGGTCGCCGAGTCAGAAACGACACCACAACAACAGGTTTGGGTTTTTTTTGGTGTGATAGGGTAATTGTGGCCCACCAAAGGGATGGGTCAGTTTTGCCATTCTGCTGGGTTTGAAATGAGCCGCCCCAGAGGCAGTGAAGAGAAGATACCACCACCGCCAAGGAGGAACAGCCAAGACCCAGCACATCCTTTGGACCCAGGATCCCTCCACAGAGAAGCTCCTGGAAGCAGGAGACAGAGAGAGATCCGTAACACTGAAGACAGTGAGACCCAGCAACAGAGAGACAAGGCAGCAGGGGATGGCATGGTGGGCTTCAGGGCCCACGGAGTGAGAAAGCTGAGTGCCTCTGGGCAGAGGCCAAGGGCCAGGGAGAGGCCTGCCGGCGAGCATGTCTGGGAAGAGGCTGTCCTGATGGAAGAACTGTATCCTGAGTGTTCCTGAACCTGAATTGTAACCTGTTACTTCCCTAATAAACCCCATAATTGTGAGTATTGACTCTGAGTTCTGTGTGGCCATTGCTATCAATTGTTTAACCCAGTAGAGAGTGCTGTGGGAGGGATGGTTGATGTCAGAGTCGGTAAAGATGGCATAGAGAGAAGGCATGTCTGAGCCCTGCCTCACAGGAATCAGCCCTGGGTTGTTGATCTTGGTTCTTCCTCCCCCTGGTGAAGTTACAGGAAGTCAGACACCACCCTCACACCATTTTTACAGAAGTCAAGTGCTTAACCACTGCACCAGCAGGACTCCCTTCTTTAAAAATGCCTCAGCAAACCAGTAACTATAATCAGACACTCTGAAAAACCTCATTTTCTAAGTTTTTCTTCAAATACTACTTTAACATTTTAAAATATTAAAGTGGTAGAGCAAAAATATCTAAGGTTCCTTTGCTTTGGTGTTAAATAAGGTTTTAGGTGATTCTTAAATAACCTATCTAAAACCTAGTTTCTGAGAATGTAGCGATGTATTCTGTGTGGCTGGGATACAAAAATCCAAGGATTGATTCCAGGAAGTTTATTTTGGTCAAGAGAACTTACAATTTTATAGAATCTTACAATTTATTCAGCTCTCTTCTCCATTATCTCATATGACTGTTAGAATTAAAACAGGCTAAAGTAGGTATTATTTCTGCCTCTTTTTCAGATGAGGAAAAAGTGAAGGTTTAATTACTTTTTAAGAGAAACAAAACAAAAAATTCAGGTCCTCAGACTCTAAATTACAGCTCTTTCTATTACAACACATTGATTTAAATAAGATGAACTTGAAAAAATTATTTAATGTTATTATTATGCTACTTTTTTTACTGTGGTAAAATACATATAACAAAACATTTGCCAATTCAACACTTTTTACATCTCTAATTCAGCAACATTGATTACGTTCATCGTATCGTACAACCATTACCACTATCCTTTTCCAAATTATTCCACCATCATTAACAGAAACTCAGTGCCCTCTAAGCAACAGCTCCCCTTTCTCCCTTCCCTCCCACCCCTGGTAACTACTAATAAGCTTTAGTCTCTATACATTTGCTTATTTTGTAAGTGGGATCATACAGTATTTGTCCTTTTGTGACTGACTTATCTCACTCAGCATAGTGTTTTCAAGGTTCATCCATGCTGTGGTATGTATCAGGACTTCATTTCTCTTTATGGCTGAATAATATTCCATTGAATGTATGTACCACATTTTGTTTATCCATTCATCTGTTGATGGACATTTGGCTGTTTCTACCTTTTGGCTATTATGAATAGTGCTGCAATTATACCACTTTGAAATAAATACTGTTTATAAATAATGCAACAGACCTGTAGGCAGAAGAAACGAAAATATATACCTATATACCTATATACATACATATATGTATATATATATATGAGTTGGAATTCACTCAACGGCAATGGGTTTGGTTTTGCTTTATATATGTCTTACACACCATAAGCAATTCAAGTTTTTTCTTCATGTTTAAGTGATTTCTACTTCATTTCTAAATTTCTAATATTTAAAGTCATTATCTTAGAGAGCAGTCGTAGAACTAATGCTTTTTCTGTTTTTTCTTTCCTCTTATCTCTTTAAATGATACCGAATGGAGGGTGTACCAAAAAATATAATCTTTTATTCATACAGCCATTATAATCTATAGGTTCTTGGGTAGCACAAATGGTTATACACTTGACTACCAGCCAAAGGCTGGCGTTTCAAACCTACCCAGAGGTGCTTCAGAAGATAGGCCACAGGCCTGGTGATCTGCTTGGAAACCCTATGGAGCACACATGGGGTGGCCATGAATCAGAACTGACTCAATGGCAACTAACAACAACATTTTAATCTGTAGTAGACAGATAAGGATTTGAGACAAATAGAAATATCATGAAGATTCTACAAATTTCTTGAACCATTCTTTTTTACTTTTATTCCCAAAATTTTCTCCCCAGAGTTGGTAATAAATATGAGTTAGATAAAAGAAAATATCTATGTAATTAGAAGATGGCTGAACTACAAACCATGACTCGCTAATTCTGAATATTAGTTAATACAAAAGAATTCCTATACATCAAAATAACCTGGATGCTGCCCTAGAGTTGAAATTCTGTTGTAATATTATCTGGCTGCCCTGAGTTTCTCCTTGGTTTGAATGCAGAGAAAAGAGAAAGAACTAGTAGCAAGAGCTTGAAAAGTCTACATCTGGCACGAATGACCTGAATATACTAAGGTGCCTGTATTTTTAAACAGCCTTTTACTTATTGACATCTAAATTTAATTAAGATTTACTTGTATTTCTTTCTCCTCCACATGGCATCTTACATGTAAGGATTAAATAATGTATGGAAAGCACACAGTATTAGCCTGAGACAATAAATGTTACCTACTTTATCGTTATAAAAGCAATGTTCTACTGATTAGAAATGATGTTCTACTGATGACAATAACCAGGAATTCTTCTATATAGCTCTTTTTCATCCACAGAGTTGAGACCAAATCAGCCTCTTAACCTAACCCTGAGGATCCCTGTGCATGTGAATCACTCCTTTGAAAGCTTACCTCCCTGAGTGGGCTCTCGTTTCCCCATACTGTCTGAGAATGCTGCATACATGACCTTATACATTAAAGAAGCAGAAAACTAACTCCATGTAGCTTTGTACTGCCCACAGAGTACCAACAAAGTCATACAATTGCAATTGAAAGGCCCTGCTTGGGAAACAATTTCTCTAGGAAAAATGATATTGCACTAGTTTTATTTCTTTTCAACTGGTTGCTTTAAATCTTTTGTTCTAACAAAGCAGTATATATGCACATATTTTAAAACATCACCCATCTCCACCTCCTACTCTTTTGTGTGCCTCATCTGTTGATGTTTTTTTTTTTTTTGCTAATGAACTTCATATTGTTAAATAATACGTATATGCTTTTCTTTTTTAAACCAGTGTCTTCGATCCATGACTGTTCCCTCCAATCTCTTTTTTTCTTTCTTTTTACTCAATGCACAAATAGTTATATTCTTTCTTGATTTCTCAGTTTTGGGTATCTATTAACTTCCTTCTATGGAAGATTCAAATTTATCTGTCTTACCACACCCCCCACAACCCCAACCCTCCCCCAACTTTCCAAAATTCGTAACTTTTGGTTAAATTTATTTCCATTAAGTGTATGTCTCTGACAGCTTTTTCCCCTTACACTTCTTTGACCTCACTCTTTGTCAGAGCTATAAAAAAAGTTAACAGTCACCATACCAGGCAATTTTTCATCTCCAATGTTTTCTTAGAGCATCTCCAGCAGCCCTGTCTTCCTGCTCCCCTTGGGACTCTAGGCTGATGCACAACCGTTATCTTGAAGTTTCCCTTCGCCATCATCTAGAGAATACTCTGTCCTGGATCCGTTTCATGCATCCCATGCCTTCCTCTTCTGGGCTTGCTCCTCCTAGTTCTGACTGAGCACATCCCCCGACAGCTTTCTGAGAAAGGATACGTGGGAGGTAAATTTTTTGAAATCTTGAACATTTAAAAAAAAAATTTTTTTTTCCTACCTTCACATTTGATCAGTAGGCCTGGCTGAGTATAGAACTCCTAGGAGAAAATAATCTCTCAGAATTGTGAAGGTATTCAACTGTCGTTTAGTTTCCATTCAGATGGCATTCTAATTCTCAATTCTTTGTATGTCAACTCTTTACTTACTGGAAGCTTTTAGGTATTCACTTCTGGTATTCTAAAATGTCATGATGATGTGCCTCTGTATAGGTCTCCTTTTATTCACTGCACCAGGTTCTCCTTTCAATGTGAAAATTAATATGCTTCGGTTGTGGAAATTCTCTTACATTGAAAGCAAGCAAGAGAGAGAGAAAAAAGAAAAGTACAGAAAAGAGACAATTTCCTCCTCTCTCCTTTCTTGTTTCTTTCTTTCTGTAAAGTCTGTTATTGGATATTGGGTCTTCATAGTATCTCTATTTTAATCACATTTTAATTTTTTATTTATTTAATTTTGGACCATCACTTGGTCTTTTTTGTTTTACTTTCTAAGAGATTTCCTCAATCTTATCTTCTAACACATCTACTGATGTTTATTTCTACTGTCATATTTTCAATTTCTAAAATATCTTCCCTATTCTCTGCAGGTTCCTTTTTTACTGCACCGTTTCTTACTGCATCCATGAAAACTCATCTCTGAAGATATTTATTACAGTTTTCTGTTTTTACATTTTCTTCTGGTTCTTGCTACTGTCAGTTTCCTCCCGAGTAGGCTGAAACCTCCAGCCTGGGTTTTTCTCAGTTCAAAGCCTAAGCTCTTAACCACTATGCTACTGCATTCCAAAACTTAAGTCCCAGGTTCCAAAGCACACATCAACTGTGAAAGACCTTGTTTAGCTCTCAGATTATCTCAGGGAATCACAGTGACTACACACTGTATTATTCATTTACAGCTCTTTGCACATTGTCTCCACACTCCCAGAGATCCTCTGCAGAGTCCTCATGGGGCAATGCTAGATGCTTTACCCATTAGTCCATAGGTTGGAACTCGTGAATGACATCAACACACTCCTAATCTCTTCCAATTAACCACTGCAACTTTTGAGAAAACTCTCTCTCTGCCTGGATTTATCATTTTCTCAAAAAATCTTATTTCTCAATGACAGGAGAAATAAGACAAGGCTTATTATCAAAGACAAGAGAAAATAAACCAAAAGCCATATATAACTTAAAGCTACTTAATGCTTAAGAGAAAGATAAAATATCCTGTTTTGCTATTCTAAATCTTGTGTCTGCTCACTTTTGATTAATTTTATAATGAACCTTTAACATTCCAAAAGCCAATTAATACAATCAGTTGAGAAACAGTTCCACTAAACTCATATCAGAGTATTACCATATAAAATTCCAGGTACCGTAAACTCTCATTAAGAACTGACAAAATTAGCAAAGAAAAACTTTCCGAGAAATCTCTCCAATAAATGGTAAAAGTTTAAGAAAAAACATCAGGTAGATACCCTTAAACACCTTAAGTTTTAGATTAAAAGGCTTCAGTCTGAGCCCCAATCTCACCAAAAATGCTTGTATAAACTTAACAGGAAGCTTCCTAAAAGCTCAGGAAACATTAATCAGTGGAAAAGGAAACTTTGGGGCAAAAAAAAGAATATTTCCCAAAATTGTTAAACAAGGAATCCTGATGGCACATTGCTTAAGTGCTCAGCTGCAAATCTAAAGGTTGGAGGTTCAAACCTAGCAACTACTCTTCAGGAATCTGCTTCTGTAATGATTACAGCCTTGGAAACCCTGTGGGGCAGTTCTACTCTGTCCTATGGGGTGGCTATGAGTCAGAATCAACTCAGTGGCAACGGGTTTGGGTTTCTTGGTTTGGCATTTTAAGCTAGAACCCTAAATTAAATATCTAAGATTTGAAAAAACAGTTTTCACACAAACAGAGATAATAAAATAATTCATTAAATTCAATACTTCCTTCCAGAAAAAAAAAGGAATGGAAATAAGTGTTACTACTTCTGGTCAACAAAAGTTTTGGAGAAAAAAATCTTTAAAACCTTTTCAAATTCCATGAGACATACTGTATCCCACTCACTTTTTATGCCTCTGGAGTTCTTTGGAAAAAAAGCCCAATTTTAAGGCATTTAGCCTCAAGGTGGGAGCCTTTTGAAATGTGTGAAACTAAAAAATCCTGAATGGGAGCCTCACTTTTGTGTAGACTGCGCGTTGCATTAGGTAATACCTTCCAGATATGCGAATCTTCTAAACTTTTCACAGGTCTGCCTTTATTTCTGAGATCAGCCTCCTCACTATGTTTCCTAGTTACTATGTTCTCGTAAGCATGTACTTATCATAAGAATAAGCTACTGCCAGTCTTCATTCAGTCATAGTGGCCATTTTCTCCTTGAAGCCATTCATTGTTTCCAGGTGTTACTGGTTCCCTTCTTTTCTAGCTTCTAAGCAGTAAACAATGCCTTTCCAATAACGAATAATACATTGCAGTGGTACTTTTCAAGAGATCGGAACTCCTGTAAATTATTCTTACCCAGCGTTCAATCTTAGGGCTTCCAATCATTGCTTCTAGTTGTAGCAGGTGGAATGCACCACTGTGAACAGTTCTGCAGTATTCCAGGGCAGCTGTTTCTGCTTCTTAGCTGTCAGTACTGCTTTTGTTATTACGAACAATACATAGTAGTGGTAATTTTCCTGAGATTCAAATTCCTTTAATTTTTATTTTTCCTTTAAGTACCGCTTTTGCAGTAATGAAAAATGAATTGTAGTGGTAATTTTCCTGCTATAAAAAACTCCTTGGCTTGATTTATTTGGGTTGTAAGTAGTACTGCTTGATTTATTTGGGCTGTAAGTAGTACTGCTTTTGCAGTAAGGAAGAATGCAGTGTACTACATTTTGAAAAGTTTCATGAAAAATAGTAAGGCCAAGAAGGAGACTAGAAAAAAATGTACGTGCAATCACTGACAGGTGCCTTCATGTTTTATGTCATGTTTTGCAAATTTTCAATAAAATTTTTAAAAACCAATTTTATCACTGACTCGTATCAGCAGGATTTAAGCTGTCCATGGTCCGCTGGGACATATGGGATCCTAGATAATGTGTATCAAAATCCGTAACTCACAACAAAAATTCTGAATTGGTCCTTTAATCAGCATGCCTTCATTAGTGAAAACACAGTATCAACAAAAAATTCAAAGGAGAAAATAATGGGGTCTAGAAGGGGTTAAAAGGAGTTATCTCCGAACACTCTATGAACAAAGGCAATGAGTACTCTGAGAGGCAAATTAGTTTAAAACTTGATCCCTGCCCTGAATAATTTTATAATTTAGTTGAAGAGATAATACAGGGATTAGGCAGGATTAGTCATATAAAGCCTAAAAGAAGGAAATGGAACTATTACAGGTTATGAAGAAAATTATAAAGGAGACAGCATTCCCAGAAACCTAACAAAAACACCAATACAGCAAATTTACATCATACCTGGAGTTTAAGTTCTAAGGTGAGGATAGGATGAAGTCTAAATCTCTTTAACCTCCCATTAAGTTGGTGGCCTGTATTTAAGGTATTTACTCCATTTCTCTCCCTCTCTGTTTCTTACTCTTATAATAAGGATCATCACTAGGTTGTTGGGAAGATTAAATGAGTTAATGTAAACTCTTAAGAGAACCTGACAGGTAATGTTCAGTCAATAAAGGTAAGCTATTATTATCATTGGGGATCACTTTTGTTTTTTTGACATATCTTCAGACAAAAGGATCACATTCAATGTGAGACAGTCACATTACAAGGTTGGCAAGAACTGAGGATGACTGAAGGAAAAGATTCACTTTCTTCAACGGCAATCAAAACCGCTCCTCAGAACATATGCTCAGTGTAAGGGATGGTGGCTCTTGCCTGTACTATTAAAAAACTTTTTGGGGGGAGAGGGGGAATAGAACAAAAACACAGTTGAATACCCATGTTTTAATGTTTTTATAACGCGACTTCACTATATTTATTCCTTCTTTAAGCTCATTCCTTTCTTCAGTCCGGCCTTGGTCCATCTGATAGACTGAGTGACCGAGTGACCAAGCTGCCTTTAGGGAATAAGTGCTTTGTTTTTGTTTTTTAATTCACCCGGTCACACATCACTAGGGAAAAAAAATCATCCTCACACATAAAAAGTTTCTGCTGAACACAGACATACTCAAATATTTAAAAGATAAATACCATTTCATCCAAGCTAGGAAACAATAATATGTCTAGTTTGGAAATGGCTTAGGCTGGTTTCCCAACCAGTCCAAAAGGGCACTCCGATGCACTGCAAGGTGGTGTGTGTCAATATTTACAGTTTCCTCACTCCTCTTTCTCAATTTCTGACCCCAAACTAGTAACTTCATCAGATGGCTGACCAGCATAAACGCACATGAAGAAAAGTACCCTTCTAAAAGTTAGCAAGCAGGGGCTGCCCAAGTTTAGGAAACAGATTCTAGCTTTTTAAAAGGGTAATTAAAGTATAAGTTAAAAATCAGCTAGTTCAAATACAATTTTGTTCAAGCAATCAGTTCCACAGTGAAAAATATCTTAAGCCCATTTCATTTTTAACTCTTACCACAAATGAGTTTTTCAATATTTTCATTTCAAATCACTTTGTTTGAACTCTTTTTTAAGCCAAGTGTTTCTTTTCATCCCCAAATTAGTCATTATCTCTTCACTTGGGCAGCAACTGCTAATTTTAAAATAAACAGCTCCACTTATGAAGTATACCACAATATAAGTACCAAAACATACAATGCACAAATAAAATATGGTTTAGGGATGATCATTCTGATGGCCAAGTAAACAATGGGGTAAAAAAAAATTGCTACATAACGAAAGGGGAAGGAAGGAAAACAAAAATCACTCAAATAATCTCATCTTATTAAACTAATACCTGCAAGGTTAACACTGATTTAACCTTGTACAACCCCTGTACCACTAATTTCTGTTCCACATAAAAGGCATGAATTTTAGCAGCAGATCTTATATATTCAACAAGTGCTTAAAACCAGTAACACCAGCCTTCCTCAAAAACAAACAAAATACAAACTGGTAGCTTCCCCTTCTTGCCTCTTGGAGCACTCACTCTTGAGCTCTGAGCTGTCATGTAAGAAGTCAGACTGTCCTGCTGGAGAGACCAGGTAGAGAGGCCCTAAGACAACCTACAGAGGGGCCCAGCTGAGCCTAGCCTTCTAGTCTCCCCCACCAAGGCACCTTGCATATGAGCAAAGTCATCTTAGATGCTCTGGCCCAGACCACTGAGTGAACCCAACGGACACCACATGGAGCAGAAGAATCATCCAGCTGAGCCCTGCCCAAAGTCCTGACCCACAAAATCACAAGATATAATAAAACAGTTGTTTTAAGCCACTGACATATATGTAGTAGTTTGTTATGCAGCTTCCTCTAATGGGCAAACTTCTCAGGGCTATACCATAGTCTGAGACTCCTCCTACTCAATCTCCTTCCTTCCCTGTCTCTTTTCATGGGTGTCAGACCTGCACTGATATCTGATGACTTTCCTGCCTACTCTAGCTCCCTCTCTCCTTCTTCCTTCACATGTGTTTCCTCCAAGAAATCAGTTTGGGTCATAACTGACATACTCATACTAGTCCCACTGTGCCAGTGAGGAAAACTGGCTCAGAAAGCCCGTGCAGCTAGTAAGTGGTGGAGCAGAATTCAAACTGAGGTCTGTCTTACTCCAAACCTCATGTTCTTTCCATTACTTTTGATAAGGCAAAACCTTATAGAAAAATTGCTCACTATATATCTATTTTAAAACCTCCTCCTGACCTGCCAGGCTGTGACATAGATACATACGGTCCTGAGACTCCAAGGAGGAAAGTATAGTATGAACAGGCCCCTCAGAAGTACTTGTTAGCCAAAGTTTATTAAGAAAATTTCTGTATCCTACTTTGGTGAGTGGTGTCTGGGTTCTTAAAAGCTATCGAGTGGCCATCTAAGAAGCATTAATTGGCCCCAACTCACCTGCAGTAAAGGAGAATGAAGAACACCAAAGTCACAAGGAAAGTATTAGCCCAAGAGACAGAAAGGGCCACATAAACCAGAGACTGCATCAGCCTGAAACCAGAAGAACTGGATGGTGCCCGGCTACCACCAATGACCACCCTAACAGGGAACACAACAGAGAGTCCCGGATGGAACAGAGAAAAGTAGGGTGCAGAATTCAAATTCTAATAAGAAGACCAGACTTAATGGCCTGAGCCTGGAGGATCCCCAGAAAGCATGGCCCCCAGACTCTCTGTCAACCCAGAACTAAAACCATTCCTGAGGCCAACTCTTCAGACAAAGATTGGACTGGACTATGGAACATAAAATGATATTCGTGGGCATCTCCTGTCTGGAGGTAAGATGAGAAGGCAGAGAGGGTCCAGAGCTGGTTGAATGGACACAGGAAATCAGGGGTGGAAAAGAGGAGTGTGCTGTCACAGTACAGGGGGAGCAATTAGGGTCACATGACACTGCATGTGTAAATTTTTGTATGAGAGACTAACTTGAATTGTAAACTTTCACTTTAAGTACAACAATAAAAAAAAATTAAAAATAATAGCCATTAAAAAAAAAAAAGATTCTGGGGCCAAAAAAAAAAAAGTACTTGTTAGCTCATGTTACGGATTGAATTGTGCCCCACCCCACCCCAAATATGTGTTAACTTGGCTAGACCATGTTTCCAGTATTGTGTGGTTGTCCTCCATTTTGTGATCTGATGTGCTTTTCCTATGTGTTGTAAATCCTACCTCTGTGATGTTAATAAGGCTGGATTAGAGGCAGTTATGTTAATGAGGCAGGACACAATCTACAGGATTAGTTGTATCTTGAGACAATCTCTTTTGAGATATAAGAGAGAGAGGTGAGCAGAGAGGAGAGGGACCTCCTACCACCAAGAAAGAAAAGCCGGGAGCAGACAGTATCCTTTAGAAGTGTCCCTGTGCTGAGAAACTCCTAAACCTAGGGGAAGACTAATGACAAGGACCTTCCCCCCAGAGCCGACGGAGAGAGAAAGCCTTCCTCCAGAGCCAGTGCCCTGAATTCAGACTTCTAGCCTCCTAGACTGTGAAAGAATAAATTTGTTTGTTAAAGCCAAAATAAATAAATAAACAAAATACAGTATAAGTGAATCTACATTCTGTACACTGGCACTGCCCATCTGGGCAGACACTGGGATCTGTCCTCCATGTTTACAACTTACCAAAGCAATTTCATAAAGTAATCGTTTGATTCAGCCATCTCTCCTACACGTCCTTCTGGAATCAGTGGCTTTCATACACAAAGCTTCTCTAGTCTTTAGAGGTGTTCCCAAAGGTAAACATCGTACTTATTTTAAGAACTTATGAGAATTGCTGTAAAGCACCTGTAAAACTGATAGTATTATTTGTTTTTCAGACATTATCTTTAATGAATTTTTCAAGACTAACTTTCTTAAAGCAAGGAGATGCATGGAAGTTTTCCCTGGAAAATAGACCACTAATTCACTAAAGCTCTAAATACCCAGCTACTCTGCCTCATCTTATTTGAAAAGATTATACCCAAGTAACCCATGTTAACAATCTATTATTATTCATTTACCTAGTAAGGAGCCCTGGTGGTGCAGTGGTTAAGTGCTTGGCTGCTAACCGAAAGGTCAACAGCCCGCACCCACCTAGCAGCTACCATGGGAGAAAAGACCTGGTGATCTGCTTCTGTAAAGATTACAACCTAAGAAACCCTATAGGACAATTATTTCTACACTGTCCTACAGCATTGCTCTAAGCTGGAATCAACTCGACAGCACACAAGAACAACTTTGCCACAGGATAAAAAAAGAAAATGTAACCTATATAACTATCCATCAAATTATTAATACCTTAACAAAAAGAACTACATGTATTTTCTATATCTTATTATACTTCAGAAACGCCGGTGGCGTAGTGGTTAAGAGCTACAACTGCTAACCAAAAAGTCAGCAGTTTGAATCCACCAGGTGCTCCTTGGAAACCGTATGGTGCAGTTCTACACTGTCCTATAGGGTCGCTATGAGTCAGAATCAACTCGATGGCAATGGGTTTGGTTTTGTTTTTTTATTATACTTCATCATCTAGTACCTTGCACAAAATTAGGTGCTCAACTAGCTGCTGAATGAAGTACTAATGGAAAAAAGATATAATCAAAATATTTATTGTAATCTTTTTCATGGATGCTAAATCACTATATAAACAGTGACATATAATCTAAAAACTTAAATGATTCTCTATATATACTACAGGGGCCCTGGTGGTGCAACAGGTAAGCACTTGGCTGCTAACCCAAAGGTTGGTGGTTTGAACCCACCCAGCAGCTCTGTGGGAGAAAGACCTGGTGATCTGCTCGGCAAAGATTACAGCCTAGAAAACCCTATGAGACAATTCTACTTCGTCACATGGGGTCTCTATGAGTCAAGGAACACCATTTATGCAACAATTTCTAAGAATCTACTTTCACTACTAGCTACTTTGAAGAGTATAAAGATCAGACAGTCATGGCCATTGCCTTCTTAGAGCTTTTAGAGTAGAAGTAAAAACCACCACCATTTATCACAGACTTACCATGTGTGCTAGGCATAGGACTAAGAGCTTTCAGGCAGGCAAGCAGACCTCCAACAAAACGTGGTAACTTTTTTTTTTGGTGGGAATGGACTTCTTAAGAAAACTACTATAAGAATTAAGACCATGGAAAGGTTACTTCTAGCTTGAGTGGAAGAAAAGGTCAGTAAAGAATGATTTCTTTGTAGTATTTGAGCTTGAAGGGGTACTATATCAACAGATGGATAGCCAAAGTGTATCCAACGAATGAGAGTAGAGGAAGAAAAGTCTGGAAAGAAATCAACCTGATCAAGAAGGGTACAGCTATTTTTGCTTATCACGCAATTTTATTTTCCTTTGTTTTTTGTTTTCCAATCTTTACATAATGTCTTTACAAACACACGGGGTCACCATGAGTCAGAACCAACTCGACGGCAACTGGTTTGGTTTTGTTTTGTTTTTTAAACAAACATACCCATTATAAATAGCAATTCCTCTCTCACTCTCAGTACCCTCTAAATCTTTTATCCTGCTTATTTTTTTTCTATAGCACTTAAACAATATATAAATTAAATTCTCTGCTATGCCCTTCTTTTTCCCTTCCCATCTACCCATACCAAGTAACCCATGTTAACAACCTAGCGTTATTCTTCTGTTTTTCTCCATGCTTATAATCCCATACAGATGTCCTATGCACATATACATGTTTTTTTACAAGAATCTATATTTCCCTATCTGCTTGTTTTTTTAATGCACTGATTGCAGAATGCATGTTCACTGAGGGGAAAAAAACCTGGAAAATATGAAAAAAATACCAAAAAAAACCTAAAATATCCTATAAGCAGCCCTTGTCAACATCTGTGGACATGTATATCCAGTCTTTTCTATGTATATATATTTATAAATATTTTTCTTTATAAAAATGGGACCATATTGTACACAGTACTCTGCTTTTTCACTTAATATATATTATCACCAGGATTAACTGAAATCATCTTTTACTGGTAGACTGAATACATTTTAGATTTAAAAGATATGAGGGTGTAAAGAAAATAACAAGTACATGTACCGCTTATCCAAAAAATTTTCTTCTTTTCAAAAAAGATGAGTCATTAATTATGTGACTAATTTATCTCTTTGAAGACCATTGTATACAAAACCATTTATAAGGGAGAAAAAGTCCATCAGACCCAAACAGAGCCAACTTCTAAGCTTCTGGTTGCCCATGAAATCTAATTAGCAATAAGTAATTCCATTGTCAGACAGATAAAACTAGTCATGAAGGTCGCAATCTCCACCCTCACAATCATACTCTACCTCCAGTCCAAGCTCAGGTCAAAGTAGGTAGAAGAGCATCACATTTATCCCTTCATTCTCTCTGGTTAAAACCTTCTTCCATGTCTAAAACCTATGAAGGCAGGAGGAAACAGCCAGTGTGGCCAAAGCATCCAGAGACAATGAGTCAGCAAGCTGGTAAAGCAGGAGAATGTTCTCAAGGAGCTAGAAGTAAGACCCCAGAGCACTCTACTGATAATGCCCAATAGAGAGGGAAGCTCAAGCAAGGAAACTTGCTCAACAGATGTTCTAAGTTATAAAGTTCTGAGTATGAGTTCAGTAAGTACATTCTCTTTAGTGTAAGCATTTATGAAAGACAGTAGGAAGGAACAAAACCAAGAGGTAACTAACCTCTGAATTGCCATGCAACTACTATTTGCTGTATAAGCAAAATAAGGCTTTAAAAACTGGACATACATAAAGAGTAAGATATGCCCCACCTTTAAGGGGCTTAAGTCTAGTCAGGGACATAAGAGATTTATATTGGACTCTTGGTCTTTCTTATATGGAATTTTTTTTCACAAGTATTAATAAGGAATTAAACATTGAGTTGTTGTTGTCAGGTGTCATCAAGTCAATTCCGACTCATAGAGACCCTATGGGACAGAGCAGAACTACCCCATAGGGTTTACTTGGCTGTAATCTTTACGGGAGCAAATTGCTAGGTCTTTTCTCCCGCTGAGCAGCTGGAGGGTTCAAACTGCCCACCCTGTGGTTAGCAGCCGAGTACTTAACGACTGTGCAACCAGGGCTTCTTAAACATTGAGTAGGAAACATTGAGTTTACCATCTAATGGGATGATAAATTCACAAATGACTATACAATAAAGGCCATAAGAAAAACCAGTGTGAAAAGGTTTTAAGGAGAGGCTCAAGGAAGAAACAAAACAGTACTGAGTGGGAAGAGAAAAAGATCAGGAAATGATTTTTAGAAGATGGTGTCTGAAATGGCTCTTGAAAGAGGAACAGATAAAAGTGAAGAAATCGTGCCAGTCTCTCCCCATTTGGTAAGGTTCTTGAAGGCGAAAGTTGCTATATGCACCCTGTACCAAGAACCTATAAGGTGCCGAAAAAATGGCTGTTGAATTCCACTAAACATAGTATGAGGGAAGCCAAGTTACAAAGGCACAGAGGCAAAACTGCATACTTGGTCTGGTAGGCAACGGAGATTCTCGGAAGATTTGAGTAAAGGCCAGCACATCCACACTTGAATATTCTTTTATCATCACACAACAGGATACATAAGAACCTCTTAACATATTTCCCTCTGTGAAAGAAAGCTGGGGAGCTGTGGGACAAAGGGGTAGGTAAAATTACTCTGCACAGTATTTCTGTATTCTTTAAATCTTGTGGCGTGATATTATCTGTTCAAACCTTAACCAATAAAATTTAATTTTTAAGAATGTGCCCTTCAAGGAAGTGAATCTGGCAGTGGAGAATGAACTGACATGGGAAGAAAGGAAAAAAAAAAAAGAAGTCTTGTTCAGAGGTTTTTACAGTGGTCAAAAAAAAACAACCAAACCCATTGCCACTGAGTCGATTCCGACTTGTAGTGAGCCTCTAGGAAAGGGCAGAACTGCCCCATTGGGTTTCTAAGGCTGTAAATCTTTACAGAAGCAGACTGCCACATCTTTCTCTCACAGAGTGGCTGGTGGGTTCGAACCGCTGACATTTCAGTCGGCAGCCGAGCGCTTAATCACTGCGCCACCAGGGCTCCCTCCTTACAACAGTAGCCCAGGCAAATAATAACAAAGGTCTGACCTAATCAAAGACAGTAGGAAGTAGCTGAAAGCAACTCAAAAATGTAGCTGTCAATGCAGTCTGACAAATGACTGTAAGGGGTGATACAACGGCCCAAACCATGAACAGAATTAATTTATTCATAGTAACTTTATTAAATGTATCTTCTATTATAAAAGTTATATATTCAGAGAATTTGCAAAGCATAAAAAGGTATACAGAGGAAAATTATCCTTATTCCTACTGCTTATCAACCATTAACTTCTACACGTACTTTCTTCCAATTTCCCATGTGGAAGCTTTTTTTTTTTTTTACAGTTAGTACAAAGGAAAGGTCATGGAAGCTCCCTAGACACATCCAAACTCCCTGAGGGACTGAATTGCTGGG